AACCTCCGCCTCCTGGGTTCAGACAATTCTCCTGCCTCAACCTCCTGAGTAGCTGGGATTACAGGCACGCGCCACCATGCCCAGCTGATGTTTTGTATTTTTTTTTAGTAGAGACGGGGTTTCACTATGTTGACCAGGATGGTCTCGATCTCTTGACCTCGTGATCCACCTGCCTCGGCCTCCCAAAGTGCTGGGATTACAGGCTTGAGCCACCGCGCCCAGCCGACGGTTTCCATTTAGAATGCTTTCAACATCAAATGTGGGACTGGGCACAGTGGCTCACACCTGTAATCTCAGCATTTTGGGAGGCTGAGGCAGGTGGAGTTTGAGGTTAGGAGTTTGACACCAGCCTGACCAACATAGTGAAACCCCAACTCTACTAAAAACACAAAAATTAGCCAGGGGGTGGTGGTGCACACCTGTATTCCCAGCTACTCAGGAGGCTGAGAGAAGAGAATTGCTTGAACCTAGGAGGCAGAGGTTGCAGTGAGCCAAGAATGCGCCACTGTACTTCAGCCTGGGCGACAGAGCCTGATTCCATCTCAAACAAACAAACAAAAACATCAAATGTGACTTCGTCCAACAAGGCAGCAATCATAAAAATTAAATGAAATCACCTTAGATTCTGATATATTACACTTTGGATATCTGTCTCTTCCAATCTCAGGTTGAAGTGTGATCCCCAGTGTTGGAGGTGGGGCCTGGTGGGAGGCGTTTGGACCGTGGGGGCGGATCCATCATGAATGTCTTGGTGTCCTCCCTGTGTCACTGAATGAATTCTTGCTCTGGTAGTTCATGTGAGAGCTGAGGGTTTAGCAGCTGGCAACCTCCCCTGTCTCTCTCCTGCCACTCTCCTCCATGTAATATGCTGGCTCCCATTCACCTTCTGCCATAACTGGAAGTTTTCTAAGGCCATCCACAGAAGCAGACACCAGCACCATGCTTCCTGGACAGCCTGCAGGACTGTGAGACAAATAAAGCTTCTTTTCTTTATAAACTACCTAGTTTCAGGTATTCCCTTAGAGCAATGCAAACAAACTAATATGAATTCTTTTTGAAAAAAAGTGTTACAGATATATATTTCTTTTTCTTTTTTTTTGAGATGGAGACTCGTTCTATCATCCAGGCTGGAATGCAGTGGTGCAATCTCAGCTCACCACAACCTTTGTCTCCCAGGTTTAAGCAATTCTCCTGTCTCAGCCTCCCAAGTAGCTGGGATTACAGGTGCGTGCCACCACGCTCAGCTACTTTTTGTATTTTTAGTAGAGACGGGGTCTCACCATGTTGGCCAGGATGGTCTCAAACTCCTGACCTGAAGTGATCCACCTGCCTCAGCCTCCCAAAGTGCTGGATTACAGGCAAGAGTCACAGCACACGGCCCAGATATATATTTCAATAAATAAAATAAGTGATTAAGCCAATTAGACTACTTTTTTTTTTTTGAAACAGAGTCTTGCTCTGTCACCAGGCCCCAGGCTGGAGTGCAGTGGCACCATCTCGGTTCACTGCAACCTCTGCCTCCTGGGTTCATGCAATTCTCCTGTCTCAGTCTCCCGAGTAGCTGAGACTACAGGTGTGCGCCGCCACGCCCAGCTAATTTTTGCATTTTTTAGTAGAGACGGGATTTCACCCTGTTGGCCAGGATGGTCTCGATATCTTGACCTTGTGATCTGCCCGCCTCGGCCTTCCAAAGTGCTGGAATTACAGGCATGAGCCACTGCTCCCGGCCTAACTTCTTTAGGTGTTTACATAACTGAGCTCTCCCGATTCCCACTCCCAACATGGCACCATGGCTCACCTGCAGCTACAGCTCCTCACTCCTGCATCTTCCACAGTGGTACAGGATGGCATGGGGTTTCTTAGCCTCTGTCATTATTTTACAAACACCCAAAACTTCTACTCTGCAAACACAGCAGAAATAATTTTAACTGAAAAAATCTAGGCTTGCCACAGGGAAATTTAAAATGAAAACAAAAGAGAAAAGCAGACTTCTCTGAATCAGTATTTCAAAGTTCATCAATAGGACCCTCAAGTCTCCTTCAAGGCTTTTCTCAAAGTGATCCTAGGATGCGCAGGAAGAAAACAACGCCAAGATTGCAAACAGAACCATCACAGCATATTGCCACAAACTATCACACTGTTACTCACACAACGGCTACAAGATTTTGGGTGGTACAACAATGAATATTTTTAATTTCAGAGTTATGTATCTATTTTGATGAAAAGTAGAATAATTAGCAGATAAAACTAGCATATAACTTATTAGTTTTATATGCTAAATAGTATTTCCTAGAAGGTTAAAAATCATGGATCCCTTTATAAAGAATATTAAGTAAATACTATATATGGTAAAAACTGTAAAGAAAGCATACAAATAACTGATATTAGTGAAATATTGCTCTTTTATGTTTATTTCAAGTTAACGTGACTGGCTGCACTAGAGAATTGCCTTTACTTTTAAATTTTATTTATTTATTTAGAGACAGAGTCTCAGTCTGCCACCCAGGCTGGAGTGGAGTGATCCTGACACTCTGTAACCTCCCCTCCCAGGTTCCAACAATTCTCCTGCCTCAGCCTCCTCAGTAGCTGGGACTAAAGGCGTGTGGCACCACACCCGGCTAATTTTTGAAATTTTAGTAGAGATGGGGTTTCACTATGTTGGCCAGGCTGGTCTTGAACTCCTGACCTCAGGTCATTATCCACCTTGGTCTCCTAAAGTGCTGGGATTACAGGCGTGGGCAATCACATACAGCCAGCACTGCCTTTAATTAATAAAAATTTCTGATTTAAAAGTTTTACACCATAAAACTTACAGGTGAGTAATTACAGTAATTACAGGTTGTTGCCTACAGGATTTTTCTTTTCTTTTCTTTTCTTTTTGAGACAGAGTCTTGCTCTGTTGCCCAGGCTGGAGTGCAGTGGCGTGATCTCAGCTCACTGCAACCTCCGCCTCCCATGTTCAAGCAATTCTCATGCCTCAGTCTCCAGGGTAGCTGGGATTGCAGGTGTGCAACACCATGCCTGGACAAGGATTTCTGATTTCTTTTAAAGTTTTATATCAGATTTGGAACATGCCTCCAAATATAATCTCATTTGTCAAATAAATTACTTTCCCTTTTATAATCCCTCCTGGGAATGTGATATGCTGCTAGTTTAAGGTTTAAATTAATTTGGTTTGAAATGCATTGAAAGTTTATGGCCAGGTGCAGTGGCTCATGCCTGTAATCCCAGCACTTTGGGAGGCTGAGGTGGGTAAATCACCCGAGGTTAGGAGTTCGAGACCAGCCTGGCCAACATGGTGAAACACTGTCTCTACTAAAAATACAAAAAATTATCCAGGCATGATGGCGTGTGCCTGTGGCCCCAGCTGCTCGGGAGGCTGAGGCAGGAGAATTGCTTGAATCCAGGAGGCGGAGGTTGCAGGGAGCCAAGATCATGACACTGCACTGCAGCCAGGGTAGAGTGAGACTCTGTCTCAAAAAAACAAAAGTTTATGTAGAAGCTTTCTCTCCACTATGAATAATTTGATATTGAATGGGATAAAAATGTCTGACCAAAAATTTCCCACATTTATATATTTACATGATTTCCCCCACCATGAGTTATGTGCTGCTAAGTGACGGACTGTGGCTTAAGGTTTGCTCACATTTATATTCACATAATTTCTCCCGGGTATGGATTTTCCTGTGTTGATTAAGGTGCGCGCTCTGGCTAAAGGCTTTCCCACATTCATTACATTTATAGGGTTTTTCTCCTGTATGAGTTCTTTCGTGTTGATTCAGATGTGTCCTCTGGCTGAAGGCTTTGCCACAGAAACGGCATTCATAAGGTTTCTCTCCAGTATGAAGTCTATGATGTTCAGTAAGGGACGTGATACGGCTAAAGGCTTTACCACATTGATTACATTTATAGGGCTTTTCTCCCGTATGAATCCTCAGATGCTGAGTGAAGGATGAATGCTGACGGAAGGCTTTCCCACATCCATTGCATATAAAGGGCTTTTCTCCCGTGTGAATTCTCTGATGTTGAATGAGATGTATCCTCTGGCTGAATCTTTTTTCACATTCATCACACTTATAGGGCTTCTCTCCTGTAAGCGCCATCTGAGGCTGGGAAAGAGACGAGTTGTGGCTGAAGGCCTTCCCATACCCCCTGGGTTTCTCTGCAGTACGAATATGATCAGTAAGAAGAATGTGTTGATTGAAGATTTTTCCACACTCATTGTATTCATAGGGAGTCTCTCTTGCATAATTTCCCTCATAGTAAATCAAGTCTGAATTATGTTTGATGCTGTTTCCCTGCGGGTCAGAATTCAGGGGTATTTTAATGGAAGGAATTCTCTGATGCCTAAGGGTTGAGCTCAGATTACAGTTTTCTGCAAACATGTTACGCTCAAGGTTTCTCTGCTGTGTGATCTTTTTGTGGTTCAAAGTTATTTGTCCTAAATATCTCTGCTGGTCTTCTTGGTTAAACTCTGGATGGTAATCAAAATCCCAGAGTCCTCCTAGGATGGAGTACCAGAAGCTGTCTCCTGTGAGTCTCTCCATTATCATCTCCTGGGTTTGATGTTCATGAGAAATATTCTGGCTTGTGGTTGACTTTTTGATTTCGGGTCTGTTTTCTCCATCTAAAACAAATTCAAAACATACAAATACTTTCCAATATTCTCATGTTCTCCAAGCTTTGAAAAAGAAGAGTAAAAGAAATTGTTGCACAGCAAATTACCAAATAAAACTGACAATAATGTGTACAAGGCGTACGTGGCATTGAGTTTTCCACCGCGGCCGCGTTGCAAAGGGAAAGACTATGAAAAATCACAAGCAAGGAGCAGGGGGAGATTTAAAATATGTGTGGTAACCGTAGAAAGAAGAGGTCATCCAGGAGTATCTGTGGTTGACAGCGGATGGACAGGAGAATAAGATGTATCAGAGAAAAGTCTCTGTTCAGTAGTGGGAGACAGAGGAATGATTAATTAGAGAAAACAGGTCTGAGGCCAGGCCCTTATAAACGGTCATATACAGATGACTCAATCGTAATGCCAGCTACTTGTTCATTTAAAAAGTATTTCTTCCTATTTTTATCTTTTGTTTAAAATGATAATACTAATACTTGCTGATAGAAACATATTCAAATAATGTGAGAATGTGTAAACAAAGAATTCCCCCCACTAGAGAAAATCCTTGTAAATAGTTCGGAGCCTATCTTGTCAGATTTTCCCTGTGCTCACACAGGTATATATAAATACCATATTTTGGACAAGCATGACTGGATTATGATTTTAAAATTTCATTTGAGTTTCCCACAACTTCTTTAACCTTTAGTAAGCGGAGGTATTCTTCCTGTGCTTCTAGATGAAGACCTGAACAGATTCTATGGCTTTCTCCTTAATTTTTTTTTTTTTTTTTTTTTTTGAGTCTCGTTCTTTCACCCAGACTGGAGTGCAGTGGCGTGATCCTGGCTCACCACAACCTCCACCTCTTGTGTTCAAGTGATTTTCCTGCCTCAGCCTCCTGAGTAGCTGGGATTACAGGCATGCACCACCATGCCCAGCTAATTTTTGTATTTTTAGTAGAGATGGTGTTTCACCATGTTGGCCAGGCTGGTCTCGAACTCCTGACCTCAGGTGATTCAGCTGCCTCGGCCTTCCAAAGTGCTGGGATTACAGGCATGAGCCACCGCACCCAGCCCTCTCACTATAGTTTAGTTTCTATCGTACAAGAGTTAGGGATTAGGGACTGTGTGGAGGGAGGAGAGATTAAGAGAAAGGACTGTTTGTGTGGCTGAGTGGCTTCACATTCTTAGCTTGGCAAATAGTTAAACTGGACTCATTTTGGGAACTTTTACTACTTCTGGGAGGTTCTTGCTCCCCCCGTTGTGGTTTCCATGAGCTGGACAGATATGTCTCTACTTTGGGCATGCATCATATTTGACAAGCTCCGGGACCATGCTGGCTGACCCACAGGAAGCCCTTATGAAACCTTGCCCAACGAAGCTGGGCAGTACAGACTCATCCCAATTCAACAGCTTCCCCTGGCTGACCCACAAAGGCCATTTAAGTCACCTCCTCCTGGTCTTGGGCTTTCTGAGCCGGTCAGCTTCAGTTTTCTTAGACATGAGGCCCACGCCAGTCTTCACTGTTCAGCCACAGAAAACACACCTTGCAGTTGCCAGAGTAGTTTCCTTGAAGCTGGGTAACCAGACAATTATTGTCTTAACTGGGACACTTGATGGTAAACGGCAGTATCATCAATAATTATGCCAGGACCTGCCATGGGAAAACTGGGAGGGGAGGATTTTGACCAGTCCACCTTGGCTTAACCCACTGTATGTGTCCTTCTACCTCTTCCCGCAAAAGGGGGTTAGGAATTTACAACCTGGTTTTCTGCCCTTTACCAATCTCCTCACAGAAGTCCCTCTCAGATCTCTCTCTCTCTTTTTTTTTTTTGAGACAGAGTTTCGCTCTGTTGCGCAGGCTGGAGTGCAGTGGTGTGATCTCAGCTCACTGCAAACTTTGCTTCCTGGGTTCAAGTGATTCTCCCATCTCAGCCTCCCAAGTAGTCGGGACTACAGGTACTTGCCATCACACCCAGCTACTTTTT